TTGCTTAGTGCCAAGGTGTTCTAAATCTAAGTTTTCTTTAGCTCCAGTTTTGGGCACAGTGATCGTTGGAAAGAGTTTGAATTTTTTTTTTTGTATGCATTACTTGATTTGAAAATTATAATCGTTAAATATTTATTAAGTATTTAACTATTAAATTTTTATTTGACTTTGCCAAGTATTAGACTAATAAACACAGTTTTAAAGAGCTATGCTTTATATCTAACATATAATGTAACAAAAAAAAAAATTTTAATTAAATTATATTATTTCATATATTTCTAAGTATATTTACTAATTTTTTTTATTTATTCACAAATAGTATTTTTTTCTAATTCTAAAATTTTAATAACTATTATTATTGCTAATACAAAAATAATCATATATGTATTACAAAATATATTATATTATTTTTAATAAAGAGATTGCATAATTTGTATTATATAAATATATATAAAAATGTAAATCTTATTATTGGTTCTGTATTTTATACAATATTAAAATTAATTAATAATCAAAAAAAAATAACTATATAACTTTTGCTTAATAAGCTTAAATATTACTTTTACTTTAAAAAGAATATATTACAAGAGTAGTAAGTTAGATCTACAATATTAGTTTTTTAGAATCTTGTAAATTAAAGAAAGATAATTAGCAAATTGCTTACTTGAAGGTTTAAAAAAATTAATTATTTAACTTTGTTTAATAAAACAACCCAAAAAAAAAAGACTTTTACTAAAACGCACCTATAGTGTTTTACATCTATGTATATATTATCTCAAAAACTGGCTAATTAATCAGTGCAAGATGTCCTAAATAAAAATGCTCTACACTTCTAAAAACCCTTCCAAACCCTAATACCAACTTTAAATACTAACATTAATATGAAAATTTCATGTTGAAAATTTTTATATTCAAAACTTAGAAAAATCTAGAAAACATAATAAAACATATGATAGGTGCAAAACCACCATAGGTGCATTTTATAATAAATGAAAAAAATAATAAATCTTATTATCTTCTGTTATTGTTTTACTATCATTAAAATAAAATTTCATCTCAAAAAAAAACAAAAATATTGTAATTTCAGTATCTACTACGTATTTGCTATATACTATAAAACCATAAGTTAATATTAAGGTTAAAAAAGAAATTTCTATCTAAACAATAATTATCAAAAAATAAAGCTTACTTTTGCAAAAAAAATATGAAAATTGGATGATCAAAAACTAGTCAAAGGTAATTTGGTTAGACAAGTCATGGATTCAAATTTTTGAATTAGATAATAAGCAATATTACTAAAAATATTATAGAAAACCATTAAATTAGTATTATGTTAGGCCCACTATAAAATATAAAGGTGATTCAGTTATAATTTGGGATGCTTTTTCTCTCATAATATTGGCAGTTACTGCAAGGTTGATGGTTTGATGGATGGTGATTTGTATCATCAAATACTCTACAAAGATTTAATATAAAACATCAGGAATTATGAATTTAAAGTTGGAAAGATTGCTTTTTAACAAAATAAAGCATCTTGTCATATGATAATCTTAACTAAATGCTTGCTTAAAAGAAACAAGATAAAGATTTTTGACTGGCCTCTCTAATTACCTGATCTAAACCTGATCAAACACTTGTGAAACAAAGTTGACTATAATCTTAGAAAACTTCCTGGCCAAATTTCAAATAAAAAAAACCTCTGGGAAAAAATTCAAGTGGTGGCAGGCGATCGACGTTGAAACCTGCATGAGGTTGATTCGTTCAATACCAGGGTTCGGGGCGGCTACACCAGATGGTGAAGGCCAAAAATTATTAGATAGAAAAAAAAATTTTTTTGCTGTAAAAACGAGCAAAAATAATGCAACACGACATCTGAAATAAAAGCTCGTGCCCGTGAAAAATTTTGATTATTTATTTTTTTTAAATTTTCAATTGATGAAAAAGATGCTATTTGCGAATAAAATAAAATAAAAAATTAACGGATACGCCCGGAAATGCGTGAGATAATACGATCTAACTAAAATTTTTTTTTTTGTTGCATTATTTATGATTGCCAGTGTAAGGTACATTTATTTTGATATACATACCTGAATTACATACATTACTTATAATAATAAATTACTGTAAGTTGCAGAACGAAAGCCTAATTCTAAGATGAAATAAAATTTGAACTAAAATATTTACTTCGTAACTACAAGCTTAACTGATTCCATAATCACAAAAAACATCAGCTAAGCCTGGGCAGCAAGCCGTCTAACAATCTTAATTATTATATTCAAATCCTTAATGCGCAAGCCCAACTCATGAACACTTATAGCCTTATTGTCTGCTGGTAAAATTATTTTATCGCCATCATCCCGATTTGCTTGAGGATATGTAACAAGAGATTCTAACACATGACTCACTGCTTGTCTCATTCTCATAGCTATTAAATCAAATCCAATTGCTCTCCACTGTCTACATGTAGCCATCACTGTTTTCATCATTTCTCTTGATTCAATGTGCTCAAATACTTGTGCGAATAGCTCTATAGGAAATATCTGTTTCTGCAACGTCCTATTTTCCAGTCCTATAGATAATACAGTATCTGTTACCTTTTTAAAAGGTGTTTCTAAATCTTTTGCTTCAGATACGTGCTTGATCGCGTCTTTTTCGACTTGAATACGATAGTAATATAAATACTCCAACAATTTATCATGACCATAAATCCCAGGGCCACGCCCCAAATTTATGGGGGAAACCATTCGTGTTTCTGGATGTATATGCCCGATGAATGGCAATATTTCTGTACGTGACATCCTTTTTCGTGAGAAATCCATCAGAGGATTAAATAAGCCAATTAAAAACGTTTTAGTAAAATTAAAAAAATTAATATCAGTACCTAAGTTCAATTTGTGACGCAAGCGAAAGATTCTCATCTACGATAAATGGATATGGATATTTTGAGAAGTTATAAAGTTCTTGTATCCGACGTACTTCGTCAGCAGGGCCGGGACAAATAATTATAAAGTATGCGTCAGTCTTTAAAAGAAGTCTGTAAAACTGTTTTTTTTTTTTTTTTTTTTAGACGTAATTATTTATAAATATGTTGAACTGTTTCCATAAAGGTGATGAATATAAAATGAAAAGCATACTGGAAGGTCTTCCGGAGGAACCTTTGCTATGATAGATCCGTTGAAAGGATCTTGAAAAGTTTCTGGCGGATTATCTTGCAATCCATAAATATTCAAAATTCGCAAAAGTTGTGGGCACACGGGGCACCAACTTGCCTTAAAATTATAAAAATAAGCATAATTTTGATTCATAGTAGGAACGATTAGAAATTGGTAATACCTTAAGTGTAATTAAAATTAACACATGATGTTTGGCAAGTTCTTTAATATTAATGGAACGCCCGTCCAAATCAACAACTACCTCCGGAAAGACCGCGGTAAAGTTCATGTTATAGACTGCGTAGGTTAACGTAAAGTTGATCTGCCACTATCAGCTGTTCTTTTATACTAATGACATATGAGCAGTCAGCTGATGTGAGACAATGATTATATTCCTGTATTTCCTGTATTGCAGGTTTGACTTAGATTAAAATGATACCATTATTGTGCCTTAACTACATCGAAGCGGCTCGAGACGTTAAAGTCCGTCTTGAAGACGTAAAAACGATTACTTTATATCGGGGGGAGCTAACAGCAGGGCAAAGGAATAATCCAATTGAGCAATTGCGTTGTGTCGGAGGCGATGCATGTCATATGTATACGCCAGGTCTGTTATTGATCGATTACGATCTTTTTAAAGTTTGTGCTTATGATTTTAACCTTTCATATTTTAGATGTAATACAATGCACCAACACAGGCTCCGATGGATTAGGTTTGTGTTCAACGTATTTCTTTATATTTATTAGTATCAAATTTTATCGAACTTACAGACTTGAATATTATTTTCAAGATGTGAATTGGCGATGTAATGCTGAACTTCCTGACTATTTGAAATTTGGACCTGTATGTTTTATTATAAGTGAAACTTCTCTAAAAGTACCCCATACGAACGCGTAGATAGTGTTCCAGATCTCGAAAAATCGAGTTGGCAACTAATCGATTGATAATTTTATTAGACAACTAATCGATTGTCGACGATTAATCAATTAACTGATTAATCGATTAGATTTGGTTGACTAATCGACTAGTTTTTTTATATAATACTTTGAACTGTAATTAGTGGCTACGCAATTATATCCAAGCCATTTCGACATACCAACTAACCGATTAGTTGGCTACAATCGATTTCTAATCGATTTTAAAAATTTTTGGCCAACTAATCGATTGCGTTTTTTGGTCCGATTTGTAACACTACGCGTAGAAAGGGGAATGTATCTAGAGAAATTTTACAGGTGTAGTTAGGTTGGAACCAAAATATACGATGCATTTAAAGAGTATTCATTTCCCTAGGGTACATTTAAAGAGGCTTCGCTGTATTAACAGTGACTTGTGCGCA